CGTTTTGAATCGGATTGAACCGGTTTTTGAGTTTTTTTGTTTTTTGTTTTTTTTTTACTTTTTGTAAAATGCTTCTATCAAGATTCGAACTCAAAACCTTTGTAATAGAAGACCAATGTAGTAACCATTGCACCATCACATCTTATTTGTTTTTTTTGATAATTTATTTATATAAAACAAACATCTATATTTTAATTTTTCATTTTTCTTACAAAATCTCATCCTCTCATGACTCTTTCTTTTTAATCTTCAACTCTTTCTTTTCTCTCTCATCTTTTCTTTTGTCACTCCATTTTTAATCAAACCTCATTAGTTTTAATTTATTGATGTTTTCTTCTATCTTTCAATTTTGTTTTTGCCCATTAAATTGGAAAAAGTTAAAAAAGAATTATTTTTCTTTAACCCAAATTATTTAATGCCACAACCACTCACTTTTATCTCATTTTTTGTTTCTTATCAAGTTTGCATTTCTATTTTCAATTCTCTTAACTTCTTTCGAATTTCAAACTTTCTTTTTTAAATTACAATCTTTAAATCTCAAAGACGTAAATTAAAATTTAAATTCACAATATCAAATTCTCATAGACGTGAATTTGTATAATTTCAAAATATTGTGATATTTTTGGGTTGGATTTAAGATTTTTTTGGTAGATATAATTGAAATTGAGATGAAATTTATTTGTTTTAACTTATAATTTAAATAATTTATTTTTGAAAATCCAAATTATTCAAAAATAGTGAACTTTTCATCATATAAAGTTTTAAATTAGTCCATTGCATGTCTTATTTTGTGCATATATATATTTATATAAATTATTTTTAAAAAAATTCATTGAACCGAGGTTGAACCGGTCCGACCGGTTGAACCTCGACCCTTTCACCTCACCGGTTCAATTAACGGTCCGGGTTTTAAAACATTGGATTAACCCAAACTTCGATTCAACTCAACTTGTTTGTATCCCTAGATGGGGGTCCAAAAAATTGAAGGTGAGAATTAATTGATTGAAAAATTAACCATATGTGCATATAAAATTAACTTAAAAAATTGTGTTTGGTGGGTAGATTATTTAGACTACTTTTTTGAATAAAAATATCATAGCACCTTTTTAATGTGATGCATATCAGGTAAAAAAGTGATTGAAAAATGTATTAATGATGCAAATAAATAAAATTTAACAAATAATTCACTATCCAATTGTTGAGCATCATAGCTCGCATTCAATTTAGAAGTTTATTGAAGTAGTATTTTATACATGAATTACAATAATATTATAGGTGCTGTAACTTTAATAGTCACATTGTGACAGGTAAATTCAATTATGTCTCTAACACTTTGAGATATAAAGTATCTGCTTGAGTCTTTATTTTACAAGGGTAAAAACACCTAATTATTTACGTTTATGGATAAGATATTGGGAATTTAATGAAATTATTTAGTTATATTAGAATAAGATTAATACTTGAGAATTATTATTATTTTGAAAATTATTTTTATTTCCAAAAATACCCTTCCATGGCTGATAAAAAATTTATATAACAAATTTAACTAAAAAAATGGCTTGAATTGAATCAAATAAATGAAAAAAAATTTAATAACAAAAAATCGTGTATGGCAAGTTGAAGAGGCTATAAAAAAACATTTGAGATAATTAATATCTAAATGTTGATGCTTGAAAACACTTAGAGCAACCAGAAATTGAAATCACAAGTTTAACTCTTAAAAAGGGCTTGAAATTACAAAAGGAAAAAAGAAGAGAAATATCTCCCATTAACAATGATGCAGCACGCCACATTATCATATTCTTTTTTTTTTACCGGTCTGGAGGGATATTCTGAAATCACCCGGACTAATCCCCCAGGCTGGACAGAGCTCGACACAATATCATATTCAATAGCTTCTAAAAGTAAATGTCTTAATTAGTATTTTTCTTAGGAGAACCTTTGTATCTTTCGAATCTATTGTGAAGTATAAATCTTCCGCACAAGTTTACGTACGATCCATGATTTATCAGAGAAATTAATAGCAAAGTGCTACATTTCAGTTCATAAATTGATCAATGAATGGTCCATATTATTGGTATTATACGATCAGCCACTACATACATACTACAGCCAAAGAAAAGAAACGAGAGAGATTGCGCTTTGGTGTACTTTTGTTCGAAAGAAATGATTAGACAACTTTTTCCTGTTCTTCAACTTTTGTTGCTTTGTTTCTTTGATATTTTTGTAAGGGACTCAAGACAGAAAACTACTAGAAAAGAGGGAACACCTCCATGAGCTTTATGCTTAGAATAAGAGATGGTGGGATCAGGGATACGGTGTAACATTTTGTGAATGAGTTGTGATTTTACATGAATAATTTATAAAATTTTACAACAGATATGCAAATATTTTTCATGAGAATCATATAAATAATAATAAAATATCACATGTCTGTTGTAAAAATATACAAACAGTTTACTTAAAATTATAAAATATTAAAAAAATATTACATATTATTCAGGAAGGGTTGATCTGACAACCGTCCTGCCCCACGTCCATGAAGGTAGCCTGCAAAAAGCATCTAGACAATAGAATCGTTGCTCGAACCAAGTAAGTAGTTGCTGAATGTGAGATTTCTCAGCTGAACAGGCTATGCTATTCTTCTCCACCGCCTTTTCTTTCTTCCGCAATTTCGGCGGATTTATCCTCACCTCAATGAATTTCTCTAGTTTTTTTATCAAAAAAAAAAAAGGCTATGCTATTCTCAACGCGAAAATGGGTCCACAAAATTGAGGGTGAGAAATAATTGTTTGAAAAATTAATTATGCCTGTACATTAAATTATTTAAAAAAAAAGTTGTGCAAGTCGTGTTGAGCATTGCTCACATTCAATTAAGTAAAATTGCAGCAATTTACGTATGAATCCCAGTGACATCACAAATGTTGTAATTTTTAAAATCTCATATACAACTTATATTCAAACTCACTACTGTTTATCGCATGAGATCTTAATTATCCCGTGAGTTTCAATTTTATGGGGGTGAAAATACTTAGAGTTTAAATATAAAGGAACAAGGATAATTAAGTTGGGAAGTTATACCTGGCAATTGGGCGAGTTGGACGGATTTTGGGCAGGTTAATATTGGGTTTTCATTTAAATGGGTTACACCTAACCCGTTCAACTTTAGATTTGGTTAATTTTGGGTTGGGTCATCTCAAACCCGTGATCCAAATATGACCCAATATATTAATTAATAGATTTTGATACATAAATTCTCTCAAATATATTTTCATGTACAAAAAATTTTTTTTTTAAGTGGATGCCCAACACAAATACTCAAATCGCCCAAAACAAGATTTTATGATAATATTTTCACAAAGAAAGTATGGTAATTTTGGATTTATGTAGTTTTTACATATTGAGAATACAGTTTATAAAAACAAAATCTTTTAGCATGAATGAGTTATGTGGTAGTTATTAAGCACCGAGGGCACGAGTAATTGTAAGTTGACATTAACGTCTCAAAATTAATTTCGAATTTAATAATGTTCAAATTCTTCATACTGCACATTTTGATGACGATAATATAAATGAAAAAAAAGTCACATTCGAACTCACATTGTCACGATGAATCTGGCAACATCTGGCATTTTCCATATCTAGGGTAATACCCTATTAAGTATGTAACCAAGGAATTAAAAATAGGCCAAGTAAAAAAAAATTAACTTGCTTGGCGAATTATGTTATAATCACAAAAGATGTTTATAGCACAAAATAATAAAAAAAAGCCTACAGTTGATGCTTTTGAGTAACTATTCACCCTTTTAAGATTATGTTGATTATTCACTTGATTCAATTAGCATAAGTTGGGTAATGGGTGCTCAACACAAATACCCAAACCGCCCAAAATATATGTGAATTTTTATTATCCAACCCAAAATTGACCCAATACCCAACTTACCCAACCCAATCTCTCAAATTAGTGGGTGGGTTATTGAGTTTTGGGTATAATTGCCAGGTCTATGGGTAGTTAATAAGATTCTTTTAATAGTAGAATACAGTCAATACTCAAGAGACATCCTAAATTTTCAAATTTACAATATACTTAACTTTACTCTCCGCTTGAATTGAAAGTTTTTCTATAAACAATTTTTGTTTGTGGAGTCAACAGTAACAAATTCCAAGTATAAGTTCAAAAACACACTCAAATACATCAAGAAAATAAAAATAAACCTTAAATTTCTCTCTTATCCTGCACACTGCCGTACTATTGGCCACTCCTGCAGTGCTGGCCACCATCCTCCCATAATTTTTTTTCCTTCTCTCTTTCCCTCCCTCTTTCACCCCTACCTCTCTTCTCTCCCCTTCTCCCTCCCTCTCTCCTCCTTCCCCTCTCCTCCCCTTCCTCCCTCACCCTGATCGTGACCATAGAGGGGTAGGAGGTGAGGGAGGTTGCGAGGCAGGGAGAGGAGGGAGAAAAGAAGGAGGGGACGGAGAGGGAGGAGAGAGGAGAGGAAGGGGGAGGAGAAAGGGAAGGGGAAGAGGAGGGAGGAGAGAGGAATGGGAGAGCAATGGTGGTGACGAAAGATGGAAGGGATGGTGGTGGGTGGTGAAAATTTTTTAAAAATTTAAAAATATTCCAATAAAATTTAAAAATTTAAAAACATTAAAAATATATATTGAAAAACACCTAACCCGGACCATTTACAGTAGTTATTTTTCACATATATTTCTATAGTAAAATTTTCTAAAAACATCCGCTCGAGCTCTTTTTGGTCCAAGCTGCAAGTTTCACTAAAATCTTAGCTCCCTTTGCCTAGCTTTTGCCTCATAAAAAGTTAAATAGTTTATTTTCGTATTTTAACAGGATAGGGATTTAAAAAGTAGGAAGAGAGAAGGGACGATTTAAATCTAAGTACTCTAAATCTTAATGTCTCAATTTTAGCAACTAGACCAAATCTTCTTGACACCTTTTAAGCCCCTTAGATATTATAGCTTTGCATCAGAACTTTGGAATGTAGTAGCAGTCCAAAGAAAAAATGGAATTAAAATAAGGCTTACACAGACAGTTTAAGATTGTGCACCTTGCTTTGTTTTGCACGCTTGCGTCCGACTGACACCATCCTAACAGTTGAGATTGAGTTCCACTGGCACTATAAGATTTTATCTAACAAAGTTACCTTTGTGCAGATTATTTTCGAAATATTCCTATAGTACCAGATATGTATACAATCGAAGTAACAGCAAAGCTTTGCACAATCCCTATAAAAATTTGCTCATTGTAGTGGACAAACAAGCCACTACATCATTCATGCATGTGGACAAGAATACGCCCCTCTAAATATAGAACCTTGTTTTGCCATTGAAGAACAAGCATGCATGTTTAGCCATGCCCAGAAAATGAAACAAGGACTTCAACTCTGGAATCTAGACCAATGCCACACTACCTGCCTTCAGTCTTTTGGGTATTTTTGCCTTACCGGTTACAACAGTCATAGGATTGTGTAAAGCCTCAAGTATGAATGACAGTTCTGGTCGCTTAGAGGGCTTGGGGTCGAGACAGGCCTTGGCAACAAAAGCTATAGCCCATACCTCCATCAAAATTTCCTCATCAATGATTAAAGACCGGTCCACAATGTTTCCAATAAGCTTCTTAGCAAGTGAAGTGATGTAAGACAAGGTGTTTGCCATCTTATCATCCTTCATTATGGGAAAATTGGGAGGTCTGAAATTCAGCTTGCCTGTGACTAGCTCGAGCAAAAGTTTCCCAAAGCAAAAAACATCGAAGGCACATGTTGCTTCAGATGTACCTGGCCATTCAATAATTCAGACAAACATGTCATTGCAGATTTTCTACGATCAGTCATCGACTCATCAAGGGCTTGTTCAAACAAGGCATAAGCTGATTATGTCAAAATAAAAAATGAAAAACGTTCTTTCTAATGATTTAAAAGATCCAAGGTTATTTCCAGATGCAATTACCCAGAGCAACTTAAGGGCTGCTTCTCAAATTTAAACAGTAGTTTTTGCCTTCTGCTTTAATTCCAAATAAGTTTCTTAATTATATTTAACTTGCAGCTAATATCCCTAGACAAAAAGCAACAAATATAAAATAAGAGATCGAACTATACATGAAAATCTGAGTGGTGCCAATGGCTAGTTTAGTTTTCTGTCAGAACAAAAACACAAAAATGTTAAAGAATAAAGTGAAGCTAAAGAGCAAGTATGATAACCTTTTTGTAACAGACCCTATTGGCAAAGCAGATGGTTTAGCTCTCATGCAAGGAAATTAATGCTGTCAAAATCCAGTTTACTGACTGTACTACTGAATGATTTGTCGATGATATGAATGCCAATAACAAGTGGTGGTGTGTTTGCACTTGTGCAAATTTTGATGATCTAGTTAGGAGTAGACAGTGGGTCAGGTTTTCACAATGGAAACAGTTATGGGGGAAACATGGATGGTAATGGGAGACATGAAAAACAATAATGTGTTGGATGACGACAAATGGGGTGGTATTAGGAGAACAAAAAGGAGCCTAAGATATTTCAACTACATCAGACCAAACCAGTTGGTTGATCTGGGCTTTGAAGGTGTACCATGGACTTGGTGCAACCGAAGGGAAAATGGGTGCTGAAGTTAAAGAACTGCATAGGATTCTCTAAAGTAGTAAACGGAGAGAGGAAAATGCGAAGTCAAATTGTACTCATATTGTCAGTTAGGCATTAGACCATTGTACGCTTCATCCATCTACTATGAAATGGAAGAAGAGGTTCCAATCTCATAGTAGGTGCAGGGCAGCAATATAAGGTGGTGGGTGAGGTAATTAAACTATCTTGGAAAAAATTCCAAAATTATGATGGACTTGAAAATCATTCTACAAAAGGGTAGATTTGCTGCCTGCTTCCAGCGGATGGGTCTTTTTCGAGCTCAATGAACTCGTTCCAGAATGTAAGGAATAGATGAATGCATTGAGTTCTAACTGATGCTTCTAAAACAAGGACGATGTGTTGTTTGTGCTTGCTGACTTCAATACAGAAAACTAGCAAACTTTTGGTACAGAAATGCTTGAATTAGTCAGTAGATACAAGTAAAAATTGAGTCAGGGAAAGGAGAAAGATATGCATTTTCTTGCTTGCATATAACATAAAAGAACAGAATGGTTAGCTATCTTTGCATTTGTAGAATGCAAGCTCATGTCGCAATGTGAGGACCCTTGTTGGATGCTGCCACATACTGTCCTTTTGCAGAGCAATTTTCAAATTCATCATGATCTCGGAATATGCTCAAAATTTTCGGAGAAGAAGCAATTTAAATCTAGATACCATAGGATCAAACAAAGGATAATTAAAAGAATGCAGAATGGCGTCAATGTCAAATACTCAAGTAGAATAAGAAGATGAACTGCAATACAAGGAAAATGATTAAGCACCTTAAAGAAGAGATTTAGAAAGTTAGGAAGCTTGATATGCCTGGGAAACAGACCACAATGGCAGGATTTCAAAAACAACCAGCTGAAGCCAAGGAGAGAGAGGAGATTTATAGGAGTCAGAAAGTGATGTAAAATGGTTCCAAGAGGGAGATAAGAATACTGCCTTTTTTCATGCCAGTCTTACAAGCAGGAGAAAGAAGAACTACATTTCAGCTTTGGAAAGGGAGGATACACAATAGTGCATAAGGTGTCATGCAATAGGAGATTGCAGGCTACTTTGAGATGATATCCACATCCACGTATTGTGGATACTTTCAGGATATTTTGGAGGGGATCTGACAGACTGTTACTAGCCAGATGAACTCCAAACTTACCGAACCTGTCACAGATTGTGATTTTAGAAAGGCAGACTTCTTAATGCATCCTAACAGAGTTACTGGACCAGCTGGTACGTCTAGTAATTTTCCAAAAAGTTTGGCATATCATCGAGAAGGAGGTAGCAGAGGCAATCTGAAGTTTTTTACATTTTTTGTAATCTGTTGAAATGTATCCATGAAACCAACATTACTTTTCTTGTGAATGCACCTACTTACGTTTCTAATTTTAGACCAATCACCCTTTGCAATGTTGTCTACAAAATCGTTTTAAAAATTTTGATTAACAGACTCAAAACCTACTCTTGGTCATTGTAGTCCTCTTAATCAATCTGTTTTTGTCCTTCGGTAGTCAAATTCTAGCCAGTGTCCTTATCGCTGATGAGTTAATTCAATGTCCAAATAATGCGAGGGGAAAAGAGGAACCGGATCAAGGGATGAATAATTTGCAGCAGAGATGAACATGAAGCAAAGTTTTGGGAGGAGACCTCATGGCTGTTTAACATGAAGCACAACATAAAAATCTTCATTTGAAAGTGTCTCCAGCAGATTCTACCTGTCAATCAGGTGATCCTGTATGTTAATATGTGGTGATTGGACTGAGACACGGGAACTGCTTTTCTAGTGCATGCTGAAATTATCTGCAAAGCTTCACCAGAATGGTGGTATGGATTGAATAGCCACATGAATAGTTTTTGGCTCTGGTGGGAAGAACTGTTAGGAGCTGCCGAAACGGAAGAAGGGAAGGAACAATTCCTCCTAACTGCCAATCTCCTTTAGTGCAAGTATGGAAAGCTAGGATTTATATCCTGTACAAGACCTGCAGGATAGCCCGTGGATACCAATCAAATGACCTCTCAATGAGTGAAGAGAATTCCAACATGTTGAAAAGGAGGCCCGGAACACTGTTGAGTAAGGAAGCAAGACATAACAAAGTTGGTTGCCGGAATAGTAGTCCGTGGCAATGAAGGCAAAGTTATAAATCATGGCCAATTCCAAAGACCAGATGTAGGGACCCTAAACAGGAAGCAACGGCTATCTGCATGGAACTTGTCAAAGAAAAGGAACCAAAATGGAGATATATGGAAATCCATTCATATTGTAAAGCTGAGTGACAAAATCCCATCCTAGTCTTGGTTTTGTAACTGTAAATGCTATTCTTCTTGCATTATAATATAGAAGGCATAGGAACTTCGTTGGTTGTAGGTTGGCAAAATTTGCATTGGAAAGGAGCCCTACCCAACTTAGTTGGTTTCTGCAGCCAAAGATGATCTAAAAGACCAGCTGCTCTACTTTTACATTGCTCTTGCTTTCTAAAATCTACCCTATTAATCTGTATAAGCTGCCTCATGCAAAGATGCATAATTATAGATTAATCCAACAGAGGATACAAGTATAAATGTCAGTATAAATTAATCAATTCCACGTACCAGGATTTCTTTTTTCAGAATCCCTGTGTCCAAAAAGAAGAGAGAATGTCAAACAACTTAGCTAAAATATGAAATGAAATTAGAAAACTGGAAAGCAGGAAAGGGCTGCCTTTGCAATAGTCTTGATTTTCAATTATGGTTGAACCCAACGGTCTAGATTGGATCGAGACGTGAACCAATCTCAGCCAAGATGCAAAGAGACATTTGGTAAGGGCCCTTATTATCTCTTTTATCTCACACTTTTAATTTCAAGTGGTCAAGTCATGCCACCTAGAGGTTAGGTTTTCAAAAGGGATTTAAAACAAAAAAGACTACTATTTCTCTAACAATTTAGGGGTATCATGCAAGGCGGAATCTAGTTCCAATAAAATGAAAATGAATTTAGAGATTTAGTTCGTAAAATTCGTTTATAAATCCAAAATACTTTTTCTAAAAACCAGCCCAAGAAAGGATTCCATTAATGTATTTTCCCCTGAAAAAACATGAAATCTATATAAAAAAAAGGAACAATCCAAACGGACAAAGCTTCTCTATAGTAATAGTAATTGATAAGCTTCAATGCATGCAAGTTCTAATTAATCTCGAAATTATTTTCCTCATTGACGTAAGAGAGGTCCAATGAAATTCTCAAATGTCAATTACTTTCTGATAAAAAAGAAAAAGAAAAAGCATCATATCATAGAAATATCAGTACTGTAGGATTAAAAAAAATTGCTTAAAAAGGCGTTAAATTAATTAATTATAAAATTCCATAAAAAAAGCAATTTAAACGTAGCGTTTACTTTGTCAACTGCAGGAACCTAGCCACCTTGTTCCGATTTGTCTCTTTCACCTCAGTACAGACCTGATTAAGCCTCCCTAGCCGCGCTTCAAAATTATCATCAAGAAGTATGCCGCCAGCATCAATATTTCTTCCAGAAAACCAAAAGAAAAGCATAATTGAGTCAAGATGTGAAAAATAATACCAAAAAAATGTTAGTCTATGCAACGCAAATTAGATAACCAAGATCCCATCGGGCTACCTATGAACAAGTGGTGGATCACATTTATGGTGTAAATAATCCAGACCCTCAGCAACTCCTCTTGCTATCTTTAATCTCTTGTCCCAGCTCAACCAATCTAAACAGTCATCATTGTGAGATTGAACAGCTTTCTTGAACCAAAAGCTGTACAAGTCCATACGAGGCATAAATTTGTAAACAAGAAACTTGTGCATCTCATTCTCCAAGCAATGCCCCAAAAGAGGGACAAATCTAGGATGAGTAACTTTGGAATAAAATAACAATTCCTGTTTCAGGTAAAAGTCCTCTTTCGTGAAGGACGAGTGGACTTTCTTGACTACTACCCGTATTCTGCCCTCTAAAACACCTGTATACAGATCCCCCGTGAGGCCAGCCGTGATCAAGTTGGAGCTGCTCAAGTTGTGGGTGGCTTGGAGGATTTGTTCATATGTAAATGACTTCCTGGCTGATGATGATGATGATGTTGAAGAAGGTGATGGTGATGCTGAAGAAATATCGCTGGGAGTTCTTTGAGCAATGAGCCGGAGCTCCTCCCTAAGCAACGTAGCTCCGACAAGCCTGTCCCAGTTGTCGTAAACTCTGGTCATCTTGACTGATTGATCTAGTAAATAATAATATGATACTATAGTTCAGTTCATATCTTGGTTGGTTGCTAGGATCGTTCTAGTAGTTCTTATAGATGGTAGGCACGCTTTGACCCTGGCTACAGTAGGTAGGTAAGGTGTCATATTACGCCACGAAACAAGCTGTCCAATCTATTGTCAAGTGACGGGTGGAGGGGAGGAATATTAATTATTTGCTTATATTTTTTTACCACTTTTTAATGTGTTTTGTGTGTGATGAAACATTATTATAAACAAAAATGAATTCAGAGCTGTATATATAGAAAATTTTCAGCTTTTTTTATTTTAGAAAAAGTGTACAATTCAAACAAAATAAAAAACAAGGTATAAATGCGCTATAAAATTACAAAATAGCATTTTGTGAAGGTTGCAAGACTAATCAAAATTACCAACACCAATATGTTTCCAATTTAAAGGAAGAAATATAAGCATGGAAGACTTGTGCAGATGTTTTAGGAATTTTTAATTTCTTTTTTTTCCATGATACAATTTTTCAATTCTTTGGTATTATACCATCATTTATTTTTTAATTTTTTAAATCATCTGACTTTGTGTTTTTTCTGGTAAGATATTTCATGTTTCGATTAAAATTATAGCACCATTTCAAAACCATTATATGGAGTTGATAGGGTGCATTTTAGTGGGTTATTTAACTAATATTTCATAGTTGTTTGCACTAAATATTCCACTATTTGATGGATTGTACTCAGGTTTTGTGTTTGGTATTAATTGCAGGAAGTGGTGAAGAAAAAGTGCTGAAAATCAACATTCCAGAAGACTTCCTGACAGTTAGGCGTGCCCACTCCTAACTCCAACCTTCAAGTCCGGATTAGCGGGATGATTTGCAGGTCCAACAGCTTCCAAAACTGAGTGAAGTGGCTGGCTACAAATCGAAAAATTAGTGGGGTCACTCCAAAGAAAAGCAAAATGTGAAGAAGCATGAGGGGTCGTGTTGTATATTTTAAAATCATGAGGGGCTTTTCTGTGTATTAGCTTTACCATAGGATTTTTTTTTTATTTTTTACCCATTATTTTTCACAGTTAATTTATCTAGTTAGCAATTCATTAGCACTCAATTCTCAAAACCCCCCTTTATCGTTGACTTAAAAAGAAACGAACTTTTCCCTAGTCCCTGAGGAGACGACCCTACTTTTTACTGTTTACCAGTTAGTAATTCTATCAATTAGTCAATTCTAGTATATCGGATTAAGTACGCTCTTCGGAACTAGGGTGAATCAAGTAATCTATTGCATATCTAGAGTTTCTGCTCCAGTACCTGAAATTGATTATTGGCTGCTTTTCGTGGTAGTTCGATTTTTATTATTATTGCACAGGCTCGACACTTGTCAATTTTTGGCGCTGTTGCCGGAGACTGGCGCCAATGTTTAGTCCAAACAAGCATTAATGTCATTATATTATAATTTTAGATGGAGAATTTATCATTAACGTTTGACTAATCAATAAAGGGTAGGAGTGTCCACATTTCAAAAAAATTGAAAAATCGACCAACCCAATCTAGAATGGATTTCGAATTTTGGTAATACGAAATTCAGAAAAATTGAAATATAATGTTTGGTAAAACGGTTTAGGAACGAATATCAAAATTACATTACCCAATTATTGATTACCAGCCAAAATTTTGAAATTTTCATAATAGGGTGACACACACACACATATATACACACACTAGTTGTATAGACATTATTGAATATAACAGTAAATGTTAATCCTATTACTAAAAACTAATTATTAAATACTAATTAGGTAACTTAACTATAATTATGCTGGAAAGTTAAGATGTTCAGGTTTAGTTTCACAGTTTATTTTGGAGTTCTTATTTATTTCAACGTTGTTTAAGAATTGTGATTATAAGTTATGACTTGGAGTTATGAACCCAACTTTTTTTCATGTCATTCTTTGAGTTAGATTGATTGAATTTTGTTGGAAAGACATACAGGATATTATTTTTCTACAACAATTTTTTGAAAAAATTAAAGTATTTTAACTTACTATTGACATTTCTAATTTTGGATATTACTGAATTACTATTTTTTCAATCCAATTTACCAGAACCAAAGTGTAGACAGTAATCCAATATTGGTCTAAAAAAATTGATTCTTGATTTAAACCAATTATTTTTGCCCAATTCCCTATTACCGGCCAATGAACACCCTTAATGAAAGGGCAAAGTGTATATATTTAAAGTTCGGGGAGGCTAAATGTTATAATTGGTCAAGTTTAGGGGGGCAAACTCTAGTTAACCCATTTTTTTTCCCCTTTTCTGCTTTTCTCATTAATCTTTATTTTTCCCTTCTTGTCACTACTTAGTAAGTTGTTATTGCTTAGTTTCATTTTACTAAGCTTGCACAGTAGGCCATTTTCCATAATGTTTTCCTTTGTCATTGACTCGTTCAATGTTTCCCTTAGCTGCAAATGACAAATACACACACACATATATATTTTTTGATATGTGCGTTTTCTTAAGGATTTTACATTATTTTATTATTTAACTAATTCAATTAATGTTATCTATTGATTATTAGTTTGTTTAATTCAAATATTTAAATCCCTTAGACAGCAAAATATTTCATTTAACTAACTTATCAAAAAATCTGTCTTTATTTTAACATTTTCTTTAGGCGAAAAAAGTTTAATTTAATTGACGTATCAATAAGCCTCTCTAAGTAAAATTTGCTACTTCAATGTTCCCTTTAGATGCAAATTGTATATATTGTTATTTGTAAAATGTTGTTGTATATTGGATATTATGAATTTAAATAAATGGTATAACAAGCTCATAAACATCAATGAATGACTACCTTAAAAGTGTAAAAATAATAAATTTTTCCCTCAATTCTGTTATACAAATAAAGAGTTTTACTTATTGTCTAATTATAAAGAGTTTAAGTAAGGATATAATGTTTTTAAACTATATAAAAACAATCAGTTTCACTATTAAGAGAAGAGTTTACAATTATTTTTAATTCCTTTTAAAATTCAGTATACACCGTATAAGTTATTTTTTCAAATTATAAAGAATTCTATAAAAATCTATAATAGTTTCAATTGTCCAAGAGTTCTACCACATTCATTACCACTTTAGAATTCAAAAAAAAAAATAAATAAAAGTCTATCAATTTTTCAAAAAAAAAAAAGTCTATCAATTTCTTCTCTATATATTACACTAATCACGCTACAAGCCCTTATCTTTATAGATTACAAAGAGTTCTACGAAATGCAATCAAATTTAAATTGCTTTCAAATTTAACAAACAAAAAATAATCATTGAATTGCATGTAATTATAACAATTTTAAATAGTTTTCTATAATAATAAAATTGTTAAATACTTTATGCTAAAATTTAAATTTTTTTAACAATTTATAGTTCCCATGCATAGCACGAGACATAATGCTAATATATAATAAAATAATGTTCACTTCCGATTTTGGTAGCCACATGGACATCTTTAATGTTTATGTTTTTATTTTTTTATTCTTTTCTATTTTTTTGTAGCAATTAATTCTCTTCCTTTTTCACTTCCTTATTTATAGCATGGTTTCTTATTTATAGTCAATTTCAATAAATCTATTAATGACCTACCTTATATAAATTTGTATTAATTGTAGATTCTTCATTTTTTTTGTCAATCAACTTATATTTTTCCTTTTCTAATCATCTTCAACCATGTTCTTTATACCCAATAGCCAATATTGGTTTGATTATTTATTACTATTACTAAAAGGGTCACGGGTGACTATTGGGCACTCATTAAAATATATTTTAAGTGTAATACTTTTAAAAATATAAGATTAATTAGAGAAAGTAAATAAATATATGGGAGGGTAGGTAAGATTAAATAGAAAAAGTATATAAATAGCAAGGAAGGTAATAATTATTCGTATGTGTATATACATGATAAGTTAGGTAAATTTTAAATGTATTAATGCATATCTAATGGGCACCCATTAGAAAAATCTTTACTAAAATTTGAACAAAGTATGCCAAATTAATACCTATATAGATTGTTTTTCCTACGGCTAGCAAAATTGCTAGAGTCATAATTTTTTTTGTCAAAGCAATATTTATCGAAATACTAATATTAGTCTCAACTAGTCAATCCCATATATTCTTATTGATTTTGTTGGACCCATTATCTGCCAATTACTCCTTTTCTTTCTCTTTCTCATTGACACAACCAGGTTTTGTTTGTTTCTCTCACTTCCCCTCCAATTCCTGGTTTCCATTCTCTCTCCATCTTTCCTATTTTATAATTTCTTTTCATTTTGTTGAGACTTTTGTAGTATATGGTTCAAGATCTTTTGCATAATATTCTTCTCTACTCTTTTTTTTTTTTGTAAGCGGGAGGAATCGAACCCGGGACCTTTCACTTACACTCCCTCATTCCAAATCACCTAACACATCCCTCCCCCTCAAAGGTTGACATTAATAATATTCTTCTCTACTTCACTCTTGCTATTTTTCCAGCACTATTAGTAAGTTTTTTTTTTTCGTTTTTGCTTTTATTCCATTATGTTTTCTATTAAATAATCCTACTTGCAATCTTTTTGTTTTTATTCCATTATGTTTTTTATCACTATTAGTACATTATTATATATTTTCATCAATTTGCTTATGACCCCTCTATTTTTCAGGTGCTTCTTGTTATAAGTGCTTTACCTAATCTTTGACGGCTTCATCAATTTTAGCTGAATTTTAAATCTTTACGGTGCAATAGCTGCTTTAGTAGACAAGCTTGTATTCATTAGCAAGAGAAGAGGGGGGTCATTAGGCCATATCTAATCCTCCATACCAAAGTCATTTTTTCCATATTATAAAATTAGAATCTCGAGAGTCTACTATGTTTTTTAATTCTTATTTTTTATTAATGACCACGGGAAACTGTGTAATTGCTATTATCATGTCATTCAAACTTGATCTTGTGATATATGCAACATGTTTTATTTTTTTGAATTTTGCTTGTTTATTGTACAAATGTGCAATTGATCTTCTTATAAACTTCACTATCTTT